ACTGTGTGCTGTTGCATGCTGATAGCCACATTAAAGATTCTTCTTGCCAGAATTGTACAATATCATCCGAGATGCTGTTCCGTATAAGCAGATGAAAAGTCAGGTTGAAACGCCAACGCTTGCAACCCTTTCCACTTAAGGAAAGGCTCCGACGGAAGTAGCTTCAATTCCACCCAGTAATAACTTGTCTGACCCTTTCTTCACCACATCAGTCCTCTGGTCAGTCCCGAGAGGAATTGCAGGACTGAGTTGTCCCAGGTTGAGTCTGTAGCAGCTTAACCAGATGTCTGCTAGACATTTGACTTCTCCCTAAAAATTCCTGGCTCTTAAAAAGTAGTCATTGTTCCTTGCAAGTATCCTTTGAGCATTTCTCCTTTCTCTAGGAAATAGAGGGTTTTTGTTAGAGCTTCAAAACACCTGGGAAACTGAGCCAATTTGATGCTTTATATCCCTGAAGTCCCTTATAATAAATGCACTTATTTTGTGGGGTCTGCAAAAGCAGCGATTTAGTATTCAAGCAGGCTTGCTCTGGGAGTGCCAGAGGCCACAGAACATGGTGATTTGCTAATCTAGGCTAGTGTTGAAAAGATAAAAATATTAGCTTTTGTATAGTTGACCTCATTTCTGTCAACAGACAGATTGTTTTGAGAAGAGCAATGAAAATGCTCCTTGGAATGGAAGTGTCCGCTCTGGTGGGAGGAAGCATATTAGCTTTAAGCTTGTATTTTGGAGTATATTTAAGTGCTGTCTACACAGGAAAGATTTAAGTAGAGCTGGGATGCAGGAGCCAAATAGTATTTTGGAAACAACGATGGCTTACCAGTGCTGCAGCGGTATACAGTGAGTTCAAACCCCAAAATGCCTGTTTGGTAAAACATGAATCCCAAAATGGGCTTCTGGGCTTCTAGGTTTCAGTTTGAGGGCGGTCCGCTTGCTAAAGATGCGGTGGTGGTGTGTCTTGGCTGCCTCCCTCCTAATAAATGAAATGTGCCTGGGAATGTTCCCAGGCACCATGGCCAACTGCTCAGGACTGTCTCGTCCATACGCTTAAACACTTGGGTACCAGGGCAGGGTGGCCGCATCCCAACTGCCCGGTGCGAGTGGTCCCAATGGCGTGCGACTCGCAAAACCTGGGAATTGTGTGGGAGAGCAGTAACTGGCACGGCCCGGTGCTGGGGAATGTCCTTGCTGCTTTCTAGCATATGTGATCATGTTCCAGGGCCTGGGAATGTTTCCAGATAAGACTTATATATGAGTACAGATGTTAGTCCTTGATTCTTCCAAATGCTTTATGGGCTAAGGCATAGAAGGACTCTTCACATGGCAAGGGATTTGGGACGCTTCAGGGAGGTGGGTTTCGGAGAGAACGCCTCCTATTTATTTTGGGGAAGTAACTCCCTACTACCGAAAAGTCTGTACCTCCTGTCTCCCCCTTTTAGATGGTACTAGTGGTTGTTTAAACCTCCCTCTTTACTCTGCCCTGGTGAGACCCCACCTGGAGCACTGTGTCCAGTTCTGGGCTCCCCGGTTCAAGAAAGATGAGGAACTCCTAGATAGAGTCTAGAGGAGAGCAACTAGGATGATTAAGGGACTGGAGCATCTCCCCTACGAGGAAAGGCTGAGAGAGTTGGGCTTGTTCAGCCTGAAGAAGAGAAGGCTGAGAGGGGACCTTATCAACACATACAAATATCTTAAGGGTGGATGTCACGAGGACGGAGCCAGACTCTTCACAGTGGTGCCCAGGACAAGGGGCAATTGGCACAAACTGAGACATAAGATGTTTCAGTTGAACATGAGGAAAAACTTACTTACTTTGAGGGTGACGGAGCCCTGGCCCAGGCTGCCCAGGGGGGTTGTGGAGTCTCCTTCTCTGGAGATATTCAAAGCCCGCCTGGATGGAGTCCTGTGTAACATGCTCTGGGAGAACCTGCTTTAGGAGGGGGGTTGGACTGGGTGATCTGAGGTCCCTTCCAACCCTTGCCATTCTGGGATCTTTCAGAATGCAGTCACCTTCTTTCCAGCAACCACCTTTCTGGGATGAGTAGGAGTGTCTGCCCTCTGTCACCCTATTGCTTGCGCATGAATGAATGTACTGTGGCCTTCCATGGAAGCGCTGTGTCTGAAGGATGCTTTTTATGGTGAGCATGTGAATATTTAGAGCCCAAGTTTACTGTCTGGGTGACGTGGCAGGGGGATGGTGTTGCATCTTCTAGGCAGTGGATCTTTTACATGAGCAGGAAAGCGGGGAGACCACTTTCTTTCCTCTGATGTTTATCTGGTGAACGGTAAAAGCTGTGTTGAGCTGACTTCATTGATCATACAGGATGAATTCCTGCGGGACTTCAGTGTTTGATTGGGGATTATTAGAACTGGAGTATAGTCTTAGTGTAGATGAGCTATTGATATTAATCCCAGCTCTAAGCAGATGTGCACCCTGGAAGACAGCATATCATGCAAGCTGCTGAATATTGGAGCAGTTTTGCTCTAGCTGATGGCTTTTTCTGTACCTCCTGGCCTACCCTTCCTCCGTGGTATCCTGAGTTTTGCTGCAAGCCATGGCTGTGGCACACAGTCACTTCAGGATACTGTTTCTCTTTCCATAGGTTATGGAATATGCTGTCAGCTTTGATAGTTTGAGTAGCTATAGAGAGAAGAGGTTAGCAGTGTAAAATACTGTTCCTGCCCATCGCGCCTTGTCAAGGGCTATAAAATTTTACTTTTGCATGTGCTGTCTTAAAAGCCTTGTGTAGCAACTGCGCGGCATGTCCCATTTACACCAGTGATGCGACCCCCCCAATTTTGGGAACGCGCGATCGGCGTGACAGCATCAGCTTTGGAGCGCTGCTTTGTGTAAAGGATCCATTGCTCAAAGGTAGTAAGCTGTCAGAGCTAAGTGTGTCAATTAATATGCAGCAGGCTTTGTGTCTGCTGGTTGTTCTTCTAATTTAATGTGCGGGATGATCTGTCTTACCAGCAGTAGTGGTGCATACTTAAGGTCGCAGTACAGTGCAGGGATGCTACCTGGTGTCCCACCCCGCTGCCTGCGTGTTTTCAGGGCAACTATTTCAATCCTTACGTAGCTTTTGGCAGCTCACAGTCCTGGAGGTGTCTTAAGAACAGGAAAAAAGAGAGGTTGCAAAGCTTTACTGATACAGTGATGGTCACTTTTTTTGGAGAGCTCTGATGCTGACTGTGTCTGAGATGGATGTAATTTGTTCAGGACAGTTGGCTCTCTTGAAGAGCTGGATGTATGTCAGGGAACGGACCTTCGCGTGTGGCCCTGATGCTCTCTACCAGACAAAAAGTCAGCTAGTACAAGATTTTACTCGTGTCCATAATCAGTAAAACGTCAAAGGCCATCTTTTATTCAGCAGTTTTATTTGTGATAAATGCAAGCTGCTGCCCACAATTACACTCTTGCTCTTCCTTTGTAGTGCTTGTGTAGCTCCACAGTGAATAAAAAAAGACTGATCTGGCTGAAAACTAACTCAAAACACTGATTTTTCAGCCACAGGTTCTGTGGTCCGATAACCAGTTCATCGATCTGGGTTGCTGCTCGATTGCACGGACATTTCGGCCTCCCTGGGATGGCATTAGAAATGATGCGTGTGAGACAAGGCAAGAAGGGGACGAGAACCATTCGTTCCCTTTGTCAGTAGCCTACACTTCGTTTTATTTAAGCCACTGTGGAATTGAGGTGGTTTGTCAGCCCTGAAAAGTGGTTTTAAGTACACTGATGTGCTGTCTGCTCTTTTGTTTCTTAACAGCAATGAATTTTCTGTCTAGGGGCGAGAAATAAAAATACCTGCTTCACTTTTCTTCCCTTGAACGCTCAGTCCAAACTTGTGAGTGTATCAGCTAAGCTTAAATTGAAATAGCAAAGCTTATCTTTAAAACCAGGAGTTTGGTGAACTTGGATTCTTTTCTAAATGTTGCAGCTTTTCAGAGACCATTAACTTTAAAGGTAACGTAACAGCCAGTCAGACTTGAGGCTTTATAATTAGGGAGTGGAGTGTTAAGTTGCTCATCAATCAAATTCTCTCCATTTCTGAGATGCGAAGTCTAGTTGTGTGTTACTTACATAAAATAAACTCGGTTTTCAGTGGTCACAGAGCAAGTCTGTGATAGACCTGAGCTTGATTTATGATTCTGAAAGCGTGCTGCCCGTTTACAAGCCCATGCTGTTTTCTTGCTGTACTTAAATCTGCTGCTGCTTTTAGTTCATGCCTGTCAGTGGAGGCTCCTTTTTCTTTACTGCTGTGATCTTGTTGTTGAACCAGTTTGGTAAAGAAATAGTTGCCTTTCCTCCTGCTTGATTTGGCAATAAAGTTGTGTTATTCTATAGTTAAGACTTAAAATACTGTACTGTAAAACTGTGTTAAATGTTCTGTGTTTTGTTTACAGTGGAAAAGAATATTTAGGTTTTTTAATCAGAAAACAGTGAAGTATCAGCTACAACGTGCTTTTCTTCAGCGTCCAAATTTCCCGGTTTTGGGAAAAGCAGCAAATTAATACGTGCATGGAAAATGAGTTTAATGTTGAAGTGGTGGTACCTGAAAGTTAGATTGTGATGTTCAGTTTCAGATACACATGGCCTTTGTTTGAAGTCTTAGGGAAGCTTAGGTTTAAAACCAAACAAAAACAAAAAACCCAATCCAGAAACTACCCTTTAAAATTGAATTTTGTTAAGAGCTAGGCTGAGGAAGTTTTGCCTGTTTTAAGGAACATTACAACTGTATTGACTACTTAAACCCAGAGAACTTGTTCACCTTTTAAAAACATTATCATTTACCTTGAATCACGTGTTCCATTTTGATAGCCTCCTTCATATAGAAAATATAGCATGAGATGTCAGTTTAAATGCAAGGCTAACAATGCTCTATCTTCTATGTGAAAGGAAGTATTCTGTACATTTTTCCATGTTTGACATCATGGTGTTTTGAATAACCATGTTCCATATTCATACCAATTTTTTGTTTTTGTTTTCAATTTATGCACAGCACTTGCTCTGAAATTTGGGGACTGAGTACACCAAACACGATAGATCAGTGGGATACAACAGGCCTTTACAGCTTCTCTGAACAAACCAGGTGAATATTCTGCCCTCTCTCGCATCATAGAAACCTTGTGGGAGGGATTGGCTTTGGAGGGTCTGTAATGGGATGCTTTAGCTGTAAAATAGACTAAAATGCTTCCTAGGCCTCTCATGGTACAGCATTTTAAAATATTTGCTTGCCAGGGTAGAAATCCAAGTGTTCTCAGCTGATGTTTTGACCAATGAAACTCTAATTCTGGAATATTCCTTTTTCATGCCAGTGCCGTTGAAAGAATGGGAAGACTTGTTAAATGCAAGCTCTAATGTGATTTGGTATTTATATTAACAAAGTTGGGATACTTAGTTCTTTAGACCTAATCTTACAAAGTGTTTAAACTGCTTTGTATGCCACAAGCTTTCAGTTAAACCTTGCTAATTGGCTCAGATACAAGCTACTAAAGAATTGTTTGTAAATTCTTCAGTAGTTAATGGTGGGCAAATTCTAAACAGGGTCTTTATTTTTTTCCATGTCGCATTACTTGATTTGTGTATTGAGGTTTGTCTCCCATCCCATAACAATCATAAACATCTGCATTTGTGTAAGCATATGCAGTCTGTCTTAAAACTAGCAAAACGTTTTCAGCTGGTAGCAAGGCAGATGAAGTCATGAAGATAAACTGTACAGCCCTTACAAGATGTGCATTCATGCTTTTTGCATTACAGTTTTACTGCCGTGTGGATCACTTGGGCAGCTGACTGCTTATAGGCTTATTTGCAGTCCTGTGGGAATTCTTATGCTTAAAGCCATAAAGCATCCACGCCACAGCAAAGCCTTGAGGTTTAGCAGTGGAAGGGACTATTAAGTGTGTGATTTTATTATTTTTTTTTTTTAACAACTGTCTTCTGCATTTAAAAAAAAAATGTATATGAAGCAATCACCCTAAATACTTGGTTGGAGGTAAAGTGGCTTTTAATGAACTCTAAATTCACTGGCAATAATTTGAGCAGCTCAAAAATAAGTTAAGACACTGCTTGATACCATCATTTTTGTCACATATGAAGCCTTTTAACAAGAGTATAAATGTCACTAACAGTGTTAATCCACTGAAATCTGAGAATAAATAAACTACCCATCCCATGTGTGTACACTGTTGCTTGAGCGATTAAGAGACAGCATGCACTCTGTAAACGCTTCTCAACGTCTCTCCCATATAGATCTCTCGATGGCCGTCTACAGGTATCTCATCGTAAAGGATTACCGCATGTTATTTACTGTCGTTTGTGGCGCTGGCCAGATCTTCACAGTCACCATGAACTTAAAGCAATTGAAAACTGTGAATATGCTTTTAATCTTAAAAAGGATGAAGTATGTGTAAACCCTTACCACTACCAGAGAGTGGAGACACCAGGTAGGAAGACTGCTTCTGACTTTCTATAGCAGCATCTGTACGTACTTGTTCAGCGTAACGTTTTAAATGAAAAATAGAGAAAGATGATGCTCTCTTCCGCCAGAAGTACGAGACGATTAGAGATAGAGCTTTTGAGAGTACCATTCCCTGAAAATGTTTAATAGTAAAGATACTGGTAGATCTTTACTTTACAAATGTGTTGACTAACCCAATAAACACTTCCAGTACTGCTAGCAGTTTCCAGCTGGCTCAGTACAGTCTGGCATAACAAGGAGAACAGAGATGACTTACCTTTGCTAATGTGGAATACTGTTACTCAAGAGGAACCTCAAGAATCTCTTTCTTCCAGTAACTAGCAGTACAGTTGCAGTATTAGCAGTGCTGAGAGTCAGAAAATTTCAAAACATCTGAAGAAATTGTTAGATGTTTTAGGTTCTTTTTTTCCTTTTAGCTGACAGAAGTGTGTATTTTGAGAATGTTACTAATGCTTTGAATTTCTCTTTTCCAGTCTTGCCTCCCGTACTAGTGCCACGGCACACTGAGATTCTAACGGAGCTTCCGCCTCTCGATGACTATACCCATTCCATTCCTGAAAACACTAACTTTCCAGCTGGAATTGAACCACAGAGCAATTACATACCAGGTATTTTCTTAACTCCCACCGCAAACAGTACACTTATCTTTGTTCTAGTGGCACAATGTTGGTAATTTCATCCTCCTAAGTGATCAAATTAATGGAAAGATGCATCAATAAATTAAATCTGGTTGATCTTTGTGTATTAATTACAGTGAAAATACCCGAACGCTGTTGTTTGCAGAACACAATCCTGTGTGAAACCACATTGCTGTGGCAATAGCTTCCTTGGTTTCAGTAGCTTATTTAAGATTCAAAATGCTAATGAGTACAAAGTAGACCTTCCTCTTATGTTTTAAGCCTGTTTTACAAACATGTAGGGGTTGCCAAATGCTGTATATTGGAGGCTGAGTAGTAAACTGCTGCTCAATCTCACCCCGTGTAGTATGTGGAGAAAACTTTTAAGCTGCAAAACAGTGACTTAAAAAGTGTTGTGATCTGTCGTTCACAGTCGATCAAAGCCTGCTTTGCGTATTTGTTACTGTTGTGTGCATAGTTTTGTCTTTTTAGTATGAAAGAAGAACCTTAACAATGTTGAATTCTTAAAGAATTCCTCCTTACTCCTCTTTACCTCTTCTCCACCCCAAACCAAATACCGAGACTCATCTGCTACAGCATCGAAAGCCTGTACCCTTATTGAAACATAATTCAGTGACCTTCGTTTCCTGCCCCAACTTCCTGTTTCCTGTCTCTTCAGGAAGTTGCCTGGAGTGTAAAACCAAGTGACGCTAAAGTTTTCTCATAAATATTTAATGCAGCTATGTTACAAACAAGCTGAAAATGCAGATCTCTCACAAAGGACAAGAGGACTTCCTTGAAACTCAGATATGTGTGATGTACAAATTGTATATGTGTCTTAAACAGGATGTTGCTTGTGTTTTCTTTAAATGTATCCAAGAATTGAAATGGCACCAAAAAAATTTCAATGAATTTGATCTCATCTGTTTAATTTGTGCCACGCTTGTTGCCACCTAGGGACAGCAGATCTTTAAAGAGCAATTTAAGGTGCTAGAAGCTGTTGCTTTCTTATGCGTACTTTTTTGACTTGGTCTGAGGGCTTTCCATAGCATTTGCAAACAACTTACTGGAAAGGCACCATTTGGAAATCCAGTGCTATGGAAAGGAGCTAAAGCAACTCTAGGTAGGTATTTGTAGGAAGTCTGGTCAAGGGCATTGAGGCTATTTGCATGATATTCAAATGTTTATGCGGCCAACCACACCTTGCCGCCTCCTCTTTGTCACTGACACCCTCCTGTTGTATTCATATCAGGGTATCTTACTTTATTTGACCTTGCTAACGTAATCTTGAATGCTTAGCTAGGTTCTGGTAAGTCTTGTGTGTCTTGACAGCCTGCTTCAGAGAACCGTTTTCTTTAGCGGTAGGCCAGACTAACAACCGTGCTAGTTTTTGCACCACAATACCATCGCAGTGCTTGGTCTATAGAGAGGTTGGTTTCACCTACAGCTGGGGAGATGATGATCATGAAGGTGCAGGATGGCCTTTGGGGGGCTCTACGTTCCCTTCCAGGTTACGGATGTGCTGAGCTGCATTGGCCAAACTTCTGGCACTGTTCTAGCTCTGCTGAGAATTTTTAACGCTGCACTTGGGCGTTTATTTCCAGCTGTGGTGGTGCTCAACCTCTGACCCTAAAACAGTATTAATAGTACTAGGTGGATGAAATCATCTCTGTTCAGACAGAGACTAGATAAGGAAAATAATCTGTGCCAAAGAGCTTAGATTAGCAACTGGAAACAGGAGGCATGGGTTGATTGGAAGTGGTTATTGACCTCTTACCACGGCTGTGGGCTTAACTGTAATGAATTATTTGGAAACGGGTGGAGTCCACTTCATCACAATGAATTCTGTAAAGATGTTCAAAACAAGTATGACTTTTGTCATCATTCATGATCTCTTGCTAGTAGAGATTTCCCTTAATCTTCCTTTAAATTCTCACTTGAATTTTGTCACATCTATATTTAGCACACTAGTTTTACAGAATGAACCAAAGATACAATTCTTTCGGTTCATTTTTACTTAATCAACTGACTTAATCTAGTTTCCTCTCGCTGACTTCCTTCTGATCTTCCTATATTGCTGTAAATCTCAAACATGATATTTGATATAATTTGATTTTAATTCTTCTGCAAAAGGTTTTATCTTTAAATTTCTGCTGTTCGGTAATAATGTAATCAAATGTGTTTAATCTCTCAGATGTCTCGGAGACAATTCTAAGGCAACAGTAGAGATAGTTAGCTTCAAACACTTCCACTAAAGAAAATCAGGTTTTGCTTTTAATATATAGGAAAAGGCATTTGCCCAGTTCAAAGAAAATTATTTCCTGAAAGGCAGTTGGTTAACTCATCATCTGGATTACAAAGTACATTTTGAATGGAGAAAAAGAACAACCATACTCTCCTGGGATTTGAAGACATTTCTGTGGAATTAGACACAGTTTCTAGTATCAGAGTGCTTGAAACTTGTTACTGAGTTTACTTTGGTCTGTGAAGCTCCGTCTTTATAGAAAGCTAGTTAAAAGAATAGATGATTGTTTTAACAGAGCTTGGAAGTAATAATAATGATAATAGAGCTTGCAGTGTAGCTACTTAGATAATAGTTATCATTAGTGAGTGAAATCAACTGTTGGGTATTGAATAAAAATGGATTTGGGGCCTGAACTGAAAAATAACCTTTAAATCTAGCAACTTCTATAAGGCGTGGGAGGGTATCTGATCTGATGGTTATACTACATAAAGACAGCTCACTTTTTTTTTTTTTTTTTTTGGTAGAAGTCACCAGATGGTTTTTTTCATTTGTAATTCTACTAAATGCGAAAGCTGTTGATCACAATTGCAAAATTGTTACTCATTGTAGTGAAAGTATCTTGTACTAAACGGAACAAACAAGGATTATATGTTAATTATATAACATATTTGAGCAATTGACTGGCATGCAAGAGATGATACATTTTATAGAGACAGTAAGGCAGGTGACGGATTTGAAGTCCTACTGGAAGGAACAAGGGACAGCAAAATTAAATTCTAATTCACTATTTGGGTATCATAGGGATCTCGTGAAGACTTAAGGACAAAAACTCCAAATACTATATCTTAACAATTTCCCCAGTCATTGAACCAATACGTGGATTTTTTTTTTGTATAGAAACACCACCTCCAGGATATATCAGTGAAGATGGAGAAACGAGTGACCAGCAGTTGAACCAAAGCATGGATACAGGTAACGTTCATTTTTCACTACTTTCGAGACTTGGTGCCCTGGTTTCGCCTGCGATAGAGTTAATTTATCTTTGTAGTGGCCAGCATAGTGTTGTGGTTTGGATTTAGTAAGAGAGTAATGTTGATAACACACTGATGGTTTAGTTGTTGCTAAGTAGTGCTTACACTAAATCAAGGACTTTCCAGCTTCTCGTGCTCTACTGGGAAGACTGGGGGTGCACAAGAAGCTGGGAGGGGGCACAGCCGGGACAGCTGACCCAAACTGGCCACAGGGATATTCCATACCATATGATGTCATGCTCAGTATATAAACTGGGGGAAAGCTGGCTGGGGGGCCGCTGCTCAGGGACTGGCTGGGAATTGGTCGGCAAGTGGTGAGCAGTTGCATTGTGCATCACTTGCTTTGTCTATAATAATAATAATTCAGTTATTAAACTGTTCTTATCTCAACCTATGAGTTTTCTCATTTTTTCCGATTCTCTCCTGCATCCCACTGGGAAGGGAGTGAGTGAATGGCTGTGGGGCTCAGTCACCAGCTGGGGTTAAACCACAACACTTGAGATTACTGGTTGTGATCCCTCTGCATAGTGGCATGAATTCAGCCCAAACAATGATGGCAGTAACCCTTTGTACAACCTGGTGTGTTCTGTTTAAAATATCACTTGTGATCATGCGAACAAAATATTTTTTTGCTACGGGAATGCTTTTAAAACATTCTGTGCCACATTAAGAACATTTCATTTGTTGCGTAATGAAAACATACAGGTCTAAGTCTTCATCAGAAAGCCTTAAAATAGATTTTAATAGTTGACAGGTTTCAGCTTACCCCTAACGTTACCTTCGGGAAACAGGTTCATTGAAGCAAAATGTCTTTTTGGCCTAAACAAGTTCCAGAAATGCTGCAATTTGAGAATCTGTCTCTTAACTCTGACAACCCTACCACTTCTGCCATGTTTCAAATTAATTCTTGTATGGGAGGCTCTACTGAAAGAGTAGGAGAAACATCAAGCGTTTGTGCCTTTGGATGAAAGGGTTTCTACATAATCTGGTTGGCCTTAGACTCGGACAAAGCACAGTTAATGTGCTGGATAAGAACCTCCTGCTATGTGCTGGCAGACTTGAGTGTGTGTTTGGTTAGCTAATGTTAGCAACCCTTTTCAGTTAATTGGAATCAACTGCACTGGTTTCTGTAAGAACTGCAGTACTTTCCCACTACGTGACAATAGGTGCCTTAATTAAAAAAGCCTGACATCAGCAGTCATTGTAGGAATGTTTCTGTGCAAAGCCTCTCTGTATTTTGCCTACTAGTGCACAAATTGTTGGAGAGTTCATGTTTTTTCTGAGTTTTTTTCCTTCCTCCTTGCAGGAAAGACTAATTTCCTCAAATGAGGAAACCCAGCTTGTTCTTTTCTAGAGATAAACCCTCTCCTTTGAGAATAGAGAGGTAATATCTTGATTATCTCATCCACTTTTTCTTAGCTTTTTTCACTGAATTTGGGAAGAAGTCACTACCTTCTCACTGGAGAAGTGCATAAATAAATAAAGTTATGTTCACAGAGTGTGCATGAAGTGAGAGCTCTGCCAAATACAAGACTAAGATGTTAATAGAGTCTTTACAAGGAGGGGTAGGTTCCCAGGAGTCTGGAAAATTAAACGTAATCTTAATTCAGAATAAGCATGTGATGTGCTGGAAAACTGGTTGTAGGATTTGTGAGCGGTTTTTTTTTTTTTCCCCCAAAGAATTTTAATGTAAAACTGTATCTAAATAATGGTCATACCTACCCGTCTGAAATAACAAGAATGATTTGCTCTGAAACAATCTGTATTGCTTCAACAGGATCTCCAGCAGAGCTGTCTCCAAGTACTCTCTCCCCAGTTAATCATAGCTTGGGTAAGCTGGAAACACTTTTAATTGTTTCTCTGTGTGTGATGACTCTTCTTTATATATAGAATTACATTAAAAATGAAAATGTACTTTAAAAAAGAAAGAGCTGTATTAGGAGGAGGCTATTGGCTTCCTGATGATTAACGTAGTAGGGCTGGGTTAATAACTTGTTAATAACTACTCTGTTTCTGTAACTGTTGAGCTTCTAGCAAAGGGAAAGAATAATATAGTTGTCTGTGCAGGAATAGCATTTATAAAATAAATCGTTTAAAGGACATTAGCCTACCTGTAGTGCTGCCCAGACTTGCTGTCTCCCTTGTATATGTGTTCTGCTGCTCTTCTCGTGTACTGTTTCACCTGTGACCGCAACACAATTGTTGCTCCCACGTTCGTTGCCCACCTGCTTTGATCATGTGCCACTGCTGTGTGTCTGTATAAATGCCTCGGGAAGATCAGATTCCCTCGAGTTTGTTTAAGGAATGGATGTGACAGGAAAAAGCTGTTCAGAACGCTGAGTAAGTAATTAGGGTAGGTAAAAAGGGGAAGCCGCGCAGGAAAAGCTGAAGATGCACAGGGAAGATACTGAGCTCTACCAGCGGAGAGCTGGAGGAGCTTGGAGCTGCCTTTAGATAAAGAAGACAGGACAAGATGTAATGTAATACAAGCAAACGTCATTTTCATATTAATATTTTTTTCCTTTGTGTGGTTCAGTGTTTGATAGTTTCGTCTTTTCTTTAGCGTTGCCAAAACATTTGCAAGTTAAAAAATGGCAACAGAAATGTCTCAATGTCTGGCACTCACAGCAATGTTAGTTAATCATTTTACTGAGCAAAATGCAAGTACTGAACTACATGAGCTGTGGTCAGATTAGATCACCCCTTCTTCCCTTCCTCCTTCCCTTGTATGGAATATTGAATTCCATTCTGTTTACTGGGGTAGGTAAAAATGACAGCAAGCAAAATATAATTTGAGGAGACTACCACTGTCGCTTCTAGAAGAGACGAATAGCAGGTCAGATAACTTTCTTTTCAGCCTTAAACTCTGTGTTAAGCTTGGTTTTTTAATTTATTTTTTTTAGACTTGCAACCAGTTACTTATTCGGAGCCTGCATTTTGGTGTTCAATAGCATATTATGAATTAAATCAAAGAGTGGGAGAAACCTTCCATGCATCACAGCCTTCCCTGACCGTAGATGGCTTTACAGATCCATCAAATTCAGAACGATTTTGTCTAGGTCTGCTTTCCAATGTAAACAGAAATGCTACAGTGGAAATGACAAGGCGACACATAGGTAAAAATCTCTGGTTTTTAAGTATTTAACTTCATTTTAGCCGTTAAATCATCTGGAATGATTCAGGTAGGATGGGCAGATCTGTGTGTTGGGATCCTTTCACCCTTGTGCAGCCAGCCATTGAACTTCTCTCTCAAGGCTTGCTAAGGACAGAAGTGGGAAGATGCAGAGGTCGCCACTTCTGAAATCAGGGAGAAATGTAGCAGCTTCTGCCACCACGGCCAGTTGCAGTGGGGAAGAGATGTAGCGGTGGCTGGAGCTGAAAGTTGCTGCCTTTCCTCAATCCGTAGTCACTAAGTCACAGCAGCAGCAGTCACGCAGCTGCCAGGCTGCGAGTGGCACAGGAGGAAGCCACTCAGCTGTGTGGGATTTCTGTTGCTCACGTTGCTGTTCTCTGCCTCCTGGAAAAAGATGATGCACCAAAGCATCCCAAGGGGCAGGTTTTTGGCTTTCAGGCTCCTCGTTGGACCACTCTGCCCTGGGTGGTAACGTTAATATTCAGAGTTGCGTATAATTGAAATTTAAGCTTTAGTTATAAAATATTAACATGTTGCTTAGTTTATTCTAATTTGTAAAATGCGGAATGGACATTGGTAGTACTTCTTGAATTCTTTTCTGAAATGGGAAAGACTGCCATTGAGATAACACACTGATTCCATGATCAAGTTTTTCTTTGTAATGATTACTAAAGAATAGTTGGTTTTCACAATGCAGAATCTTGGCTTTAAGTTCTTCAATAAACTACTTTTTTTTTTTTTCTTCTGGATTCTTCTATTTAGCAACATTCACAAGATATTTTCTTTTTACTTTTAGTAAAAGAGTTCAGCCTCCTTAGTACAACCTTCTGACTCCCTCTATGCCAAACCCAAATGCTTGTCTAATAAAATTTTAGATGCATAGAAACCCAGGCTGTGCCTGTGCTGATTGATGAAAATGGTCAATGATGAGGAAAAGCAAAAATGTAAGGAGCTCTCACTTTTTTTTTTATAGAGCAGCTCACGTTTTGTTTGAAAAGTAATTTGAAAAAGAAAAATAAGATGAACTACTGCCTTTAAAGGATCTGTCAATTAGTTTTCCTTCGGAGATCAATTGTACATTACTTCTCTTACTTTTGCTAGAAATAACCCATACAGATTTTTTTTTTTTCCCTGCTCAGAGAGAGAGAGAGAGAGAGAACAAGATCACAATTTAAAAGCGAGCAGTAGGATTTCTTACGGGTATTTCTTCATAATAGAAGTGAAATCCTGTTGGTTTTGTCAAAGTAGTACAGAGAAAGGAGATGCAGAGGGTTGTGAAATAGTGTGGGCGCATGTAAGCGGAGAGTGTTGGAGTGGTGTACTTGTGTTTTCCTTTTTTTGCCATAGTGACCTGTGCCACTTCACGTACAACACTTTTTAATATTAGCACAAGTTTTAATTCTGTTGAATCTAATATTTTTGTTTCGATTTTGGTATTTCTTTAAGTGAAAAAGTTATTTGGTAATGAACGCTGCTTCCTAACTTGGATTTGGTTTCAAGCCGTTACATGGCTCAAAAATTCCATCTCACTCTTGACGAAAAAAAATTCTATCTCACTCTTGAAAAATTATTCTGCTTCTCCTTCAAATATTGTGTGTTCGTGGGAGAAAAATGCAAGTTAATTGTGGTGTTCTCCTGCTACAGCAGCATGGTACTGTTTCTGTTGTAAAGAAAAACCTTGGCCTTCTCTGCAACAGAATACTCCCTTGTTTGTTAATCTGCTTGGGCATAACTGGAGTTCCTTTGACTTTTGCTACAGGAAGGGGAGTACGTCTCTATTACATTGGCGGAGAAGTTTTTGCCGAGTGCCTAAGCGATAGCGCGATTTTTGTTCAGAGCCCCAACTGTAATCAAAGATATGGCTGGCATCCTGCAACTGTGTGCAAAATTCCACCAGGTTAGTAGCCTACCAAAGGTCTCATGCAAGAATATCTAGTGAATGTATTCACTGGATGACCTTGGCTTCCCTTTGGATACCTAGAAGGGGTTTCTTTGTAGTTTCAGGCTTCTGTGTAGCAAACGCAAGTATTCATTCATTGTACCCTTTGGACTTTTTTTTTCTTTATAGGATGCAATCTAAAAATCTTTAATAACCAAGAATTTGCTGCTCTTCTGGCTCAATCTGTGAATCAGGGTTTTGAAGCAGTTTATCAGCTTACTAGAATGTGTACCATAAGAATGAGTTTTGTTAAAGGATGGGGAGCTGAATACAGGTAAGAAAAAACCCTTTGCTTTTAAATTTAGAGTTAATAATTTTTTTTTTTTTTCACTAATACAGTCTTTCTGTCTGGCTTGAAAGCAGTACGTACAGGCTTCTTACTGCTATTGTAGCTATGCTGTCTGCAACTTGAAGCCCTAGATTCCTTTTTCTCCCCCTCAGCTCTGGAGCTCCTAAGTCATAAAGACCAGTGAACTGATTTTAGTATTGCGTTGAAGTCAGCTGTTGAGCAAGGATTGTCTTCAAAGTTCTGTTTCCTCACTCAATCCTGCCTGCTTGCTTATTGTGGTGAAACCACCGAGCGCATGGGGAAGTTTCACAGTTTGTTCTATGAGATTATTTGCTATTTGTTAGACGTGCGGTTGTTTTGGTCTCCATCCTCTACTATATGGAGTATAACGAGTTTGTTAGGTAGTGGTGCGGGATGCAGCTGATAGTACCCGACAGAAAGAATTGGAGTCGCTTGGTGTGCGTTCTGCAAAATTAAAACAGCTGGAGAACACGCATTTAAGGGATGGCAAATATTTTGGAACTTGTAGTGGAAAAAGCTTTGCAGGAGTGAGATGACTTTGTTTATGTAGGAAAACTGCTAAAACCAGGGGTTTGAGTGGAAAAAAATAGGTTTTTATCTGCTTTTGAATAGATTCCAATTGTATTCCTTATTAGCACAAACTAAGAACTGTAGTTGAGGACTGTGCCTGTTTTTAATGTAGTATAGGACTTTGGGAAGAGAAGGCATTGACTTCTAACTGAGCAGTATTAAAGGTTTCATTATTTTTGAGAGCTAGAGATGTGGTTTTACATAAATCCCTTAAACCTCTCTAGAAACTCTCCACTGAAGGAATAGAAGCCTGACGTATCAGTACCTTATTGCAATACATAACGATTTTTTTAAAAATCCATATAATTTCTGAAGCTGAATAATGACATATAGGTTCTACTGTAAATCCTGGGGTTTTGATTCTTTTATCTGCTCTTGAAATATATACATGTAAATAGCAGCATCAGTACATGGGGGGATGCTTCTCTGCTAAATTAAGCCGAATTTATAAAAACCTAACTAGATGAAATGAGAAATTTGAGTAATGGAATAAATTGGTACCTCTTTGTTAGCAAGAGGTACACAAGAAAGAATCTGGCTCAAGTTTAAAGAACTGTTGGATTTGGCTCAAAAGGAGTATGCATACACTTACGTATAATTAAATACAACATTCAAATCAGAACAGAAGAAAGGCTTAATCAGTCAGATTATACAGAGGCAACTTGAAGTGAATGGAGTGTAAGTGCTGGGTTAAAACAGTGGGGAGGCTTTTCGTAAAGTTATTTCTGAGGAGGGAGAAGGTTGGTTGTTAGTGGTCTACAAACCCTTCCAGAGATCATAGGGTTGAAAAAGCTCCAGTGGAAAAACTGCCAGAACAGCACAGAAACTGATTACTGACTTAATGCTGAACTAGTTTCTTTGCATCTCTGTTCAAGATGGGGCTAATAAATTATTGATGCGCAAAACTTGTAAGTTATGCTGCAGTTTGTGATTAAAGCAAGAAGAGGCTGCTCCTGCAAACACAACCTTGAATTGAAATGAATGTAGCCTGAATTGTCAAAAGAGACCAGGAAGCAGGGTAAAAGCCATCATTCTTGTTAAAACTCCTGTGCTTCATTATTATGTCAAAACCATTTCTCATAGAACAGGCTTCAGCAAAGCCGAAGCGTTACTTACGTATGGCATATGGGCATAAAGGTGTAGATAGGGCAAGGTGGTAGATTTTATGAGCTTGGTAGACAAAATAACTTAGAGCTTCGTGCTCGATACGTGTTGGCTTGGATTGAGGATGGCGGTAGAAGTTCAGATTGGCAGTCCCGTGTTCACATGAACACAGGAACTATCCAGGGCTAGGCTCATCTTCTGAAGAAAGTTAAGTAGAGGTAATTACAGCAAAGAGACTTAGCGATACATGAACTGGAAATCCATGGGTAGAAGAGGCTGAGTTTGAGCTTTGAGACGGCTGCTAAGCGACTGTCACTATTTTATCAGCTTTTGCCAGCGTAGCACAAAGCCAGCGCTGTTGAACAAAACCAGTTATAAAATTTTGAGGAAGTGTGTTGTGGAATACATTGTAGGGGAGTTGACAGCAGTGGAATAATGAACTTCCTTCTTTGGGAGAGGATTTGAGACTAAATGGAGTTATATTTCCTGTGGTTTAGATTGTTCTTTTATTGGATCACTTTGTTTTGGCATAGGCATTCGGGGCTAAGATAACAATGTTTTTTTAGAGTGCTGAGAGAGGACAGACCCCAGCCACTTACTTCTCCTAGAAAATGTGAAACCACTGACAACTTTTTGAAATCCATCCTCTCACTGGCTTATTCTTTCTGCCTTTTCAGTCCCTCTGTTTTATATAAACAGATTTCCTTAAAGTGAAGGGTTGCAGTGCTGACAGTAAAAATGGGCTGGGTTTGTGGCTGACTAATCTGCTGCCTTTGAATCTTAATGCCTCCTTGCTTTGACTTTGGGATAGCTGGAATTACTAGGAAAAACTGGCTTAGCAACAATAGCCTTGCCAGTCTAGGTTGGGAAAACTCCCATGCCTGGAGTGGGTACGGTGAAATAACAGGATTTCTCAGGCAGAGTATGTCCAATACTGATTTCTTTACTTTGGAGATGGAGAAGGAAGATTTTTGAATAACAGGTCTCTGAAATGAGGGTATATGGGAGAGTGAATGAAGCTTTTATGATTGTCAGTCCTTCGGCTTTCCTGAGGCTTTCTGTGTGGTGTTTAATTAAGGGCTTCTAATGTGGAAAATTATAGGCAAGTTTATATAGAAGACAAGGAAACATGATTTTTACTTGAATTGCTGGTGCGAGGATGTTATAGTACAAAACACGTGCAGAAGTGTAAGATTACAGGAAATCAGAGATAAAATTTGGTGTTCCTTTGAGATAACATCAGTTAGCACGGCATAACCACCCACTGTGTTTTGACATAGTGTTTCTGACAACATCTAGCAGTTTCCTTATACATTTATCTTCTCAATTGCTCCAAAAAAACAGACCTTCTGACTGCAATAATATCGTGCTGTTTGGCCACGCTGACAGCACAGAGCCAAATGTTTCTATTCCATATTTCTTAGTAGTTGTCTACAAAATTCACATCCAGTTATGCACGCAGGCTCTTTAAAGGTTCTAGATACAGCTGCAGACGGCTATCTGTGATGTGAACACCACATTGGTTGGCGAATCTTCAGGTTTGAATGTCTTTTTAGAAATCAGGCTTTTGGTGTGGCACTTGAGAAACGAGTGCTGCGCTTCTTACCTTATTCTCTGGAGCAAAATATTCTTGATGTATAAAGCACAAGCATGTAATTAGTGATGTGTTTTATAGATAGGGGGTGGTTTGGGTTTTTATTTTTTGTTGCTGCTTTTTATTCTTCAAAGACTCTCCGAAAAAAGCTCAGTAACAATTATGGTAGTGGTTGCAGATTTTTATCTTTCTGTGTAGAAGATACGGATAGAAATGTACTTGATCATATGGTGGAGAACTTTGAAAGCCAAAGCTGCTTTCTGATTTTGCTATTATTCTTTGTTTTCTAGACGGCAAACAGTAACAAGCACTCCTTGCTGGATTGAACTTCATCTGAATGGACCTCTACAATGGTTGGACAAAGTATTGACTCAGATGGGCTCCCCTTCAGTACGCTGCTCCAGCATGTCGTAAAACTCCTTCCTCCGTTACCAGTGGGCTAACTATCGAGTCCAATCAACAGACTTAATATAACAGCTCGTCTGTCGTAGTATTTGTGTGTGGTCCCCATGAACTGTTTACTATCCAAAAAGGTTTTTAAAAAAAAAAAAAAAAAAAAAAAAAAAAAAGAAAAACTAAACTTGAGGTCTCATCAATTAAAGCACCTTGTGGATTCTGTTTCCTATACTCTGATACTAGATGAAAATTTAGTGTATAGAAATGCCTTCTTCAGAAAGAAGAAGGGACAGTTCTAAAGACTCTTAATGGTGTTTTTATTGGGTATATAATTGAGTGTCCTAATGGTTTATCAATAACATGAATAGCTAAGTATATGTACAGGTAATGTATCATGATCTCAAATATCACAGTATTGTGCTGTTCTACATTTTAGTTCCCATAAATAGTCATTTGTTTTTTTTGACTGGGGCAAATCTCATAAAATTCCAAGACTCTACTCCTTTATTCTTTTATATTTTTTTATATAAGCAGGTTTTCGAGTTGTCCTAAACATAACAAGCAGACTTTCCTTGTAGAAAAGCTTAACTTTTTGCTGCCTTCTTAAAGAAAAAGAGAATCCCTCCATTGGAAGGGAAAGAAATGTCTTGAGATTCATCTGTGAAATCTTAAGACACTTTATATGCTTAATGGGGCCTAAAATGAATTCATATTATAAATTCCGAGTATCCATCACACTAGGAGTCTACTTTTCCCTACCCATCTGAGTTGATGCATCTGTTGCCAGCAATATTGCTGGCACTGATGTAATTTGGGACTTTTTTTGTACCTTGAATCATTGAAATCAGTGTGTTTTCTCATGGAATGAGAATTTACTCTAGCATTGGATACTGGATTAAGTACACAAGGTTATTGGCTTACCCCTTACATCTGTATTTTTTCATTAAACAGATGTCACTAAAAATCATGGTTTTTTAGTTTTTGGAGCCAAATACCTTGAAAAATCCTTTCCCAGGGTAAACTAGACTCTTTCGTATAGGTTTTAAATAGATGCAGCTTCTTAACATATTTCAGTAACAGAATTTAAATTTCTGATCTGAGTGGCTTTGTATAGCTTACTTACATACCAGATCATACGCATTCATTATGTCATAATGGGCCTTGTTATTAAAAGTAGTTGCTTCTGCAAAACCTCTAGGATAGTGGTTGCTGAGGTATGACCAGCGAAGGAGGACTTCTAGGTTCTTCGTGACAGTGCATGTTATTGTGAACCCTTGGACACTACAGCTGCACCATATTAAAAAATATTCTGAAATATATTCTACAAATAAGTCTGGGTTGGGGAAGGGTTGGGAAACTGTATAGAAGGGTTATTCTGACTTGAAAAATATACATCTTACTAACAATCTTGTGATCTAGCTGTCTGTCATTCTTTTGTTATTGTGGCAGTAGCAGGATTGCCTTTGTCTGTTTTTTCCCATTGTTTCATCCATTACACTAGTACTGTACTTCGTAAGTACAGCTAGTGATAACTTAGCTTTGAGAACAAAAACGTGGCCAGTGTTACAGCTTTTAATCAGTTGACTGAATTGATGATAGCGATGGATATTTTTATGCCGTAATGACTTAGGGCATAGAAGCAATACCAAAAATCAAGCCTTTGAAAAAGTGGGCCAGACACCTTTTAAAAAAAAAAAAATAAAAAAATTGGCAAAGCAGTTACCAGTTTGTGCTAGTTTTACCAGTAGACTAATGTATTGGTAGAACTTGTGAACCTAAGAAATAAGCTTCATGCGTGTTGCATTTGCCTAATATGTGAATACACTAATAAAAGTTTTAATTCTCATGATGGTTGGGTTTTTTTTAATTTTATTAATTGCTGTATATATTTTCTGTAGAAGGCTAGGTATCAGTCTAACTAACCCAAGTAAATGGCACAAGTGTCCTGCAGGTTGGGGCTGGAAAGGTACGGTTTAGATGTTAAAATCACCTCTTACAGAGCTGGCGTGGGGGTTCTGGATGCGTGTGTGTTTAATGATACAGGCTTCTACTCCAGATGAAGCTGATTAAAGCAGTTGCTTTTTTTTCCTGTCACAATCAAATTACATCCTTACTAGCTCAGATGTTTCCTTTCACCTGTGAAACAGATAAGAGCGACTTGCCTGGGTGAGAGACTCCACTGCATTTCCAAGCAGGTTGCAACGTGAATCAGTTTGGGTGACCTAATTCTGGAGCCTCCTTACTCTGGATTTCCGTATGTGTTCTTTCAGTGGTGGCAATGTTACTCGCCTTGCCTTGAATGTTCTAATAGCCTTGACTGTACCCTTTTTTTTTTTCCTTTGGTGTTCACTTCCAAGCAGCGTACAAGGACGCTGCAGGCATTATCTGGGGACCTGTGGTGCTGCCTGTGTGCAAGGCCGTCTCAGTCTGTGTAGAAGTCATGGGTTTTTTTGACTTCTCTTAGTACTGCTAAAATATTCTCTCCTGCCATCACTGGTTTTGGCCGCAGCTTAGTGGAACGGGGGAACTTAGCTCCATTCGAAACGTTTGCTTGCCTGCGTTTCATTTGAATGCCTTTGGCAGTTCTTGAGTAACTTTAACCTACTCCTATTTCTTAATCCAGTGCCCTTCTGACTTATCCCACTGTTGTTCTGCTCTTCCTCAAAATCTGACCAGTGCCTGCTCAAGCATCTTGGTGTGGAATGCCTGTGGTAAGGAATGTGACTTCATCCCTCTTCCCTTCTGCCAGTCAAAGTACTGATGTCCAAAATACAAATGAAAAGTGAAATTTTTTTTTATTTTTTTTTTTTTTTGTGAGGCTGTTTTGTTAAATAAAACACTTACCAAGCAGGGGAGGACTCAACTGGAGATACTTTCCGGATGGGTAGCCAGCTGCTTATCTGTAGCATGACACTGGAAATACTCTGTAACTCTTGCCTTAAGTTTGGACTGGCAATACTGCATGCTGGGCTTCTGAGCTCGCTCTTGTCACTAGCCCTGTCTGAGCTTGATTTTCATAGTACTGCCAAAACCAAGTAATCAAAAATTGGGTAGTTGATATAAACACCCAAGCCTAAAAATTACTTTTGAGTTGCCTTTTAGCAGCTTGAATGCACTGAGCTGACATTTCAGAACCCTCCACCCTCCAAAAAAAAACCCAATTTCATGCAGAACTTCTTCCAATGCCAGGGCTGGGGCTTGGAGAACAGCGAACATCAGATGCTTGGAGCCTTTAAACCGTGATAATTGATGGTAGAATGTCACCTCCGTGTGTTCCCCCCTTACTTTGTGCGTGTTTCCTATCTAGGTGGGTGAGCTCCCTGTAGCAGGAATTCTGTGCTGTTACTTCAGCGTCTTGCACAGAGTCCTTTGGCCTCCAGGTGCTGTTACGCAAATCTAGAATACGGTGAGAGCTGCGGTGTGTTCTTGTTCTTATTCAGGACGTTGTGCTTAATCAGAACTTAACCTCCCTGAGACTGGTTGCAGGCAGATGGTGTAAATAACTTCAGACTCCCTGTATAATCAGCGGGGAGAGGTAAAGTCTGAATTTGAGGCTTTAAATTGCTCTCTGGTAGAGAGCCTAGGCTGTTAGCTGAGCTGCCCGACATAAAGTGTAAATATCTGCCTTAAAAGGTTCATGGGGGCTACCAAGGTAGTCAGCTTAGATGTTTGGGACTAACAGCTTTAAACTGATTTACACAGTGAAAACTAGAAAAATCACAACTGCCGTACTTCAGTAAGCTTTTTATTTTTACGTGCCCAACTTAACTTCTCATGTTGAAGTGGGAGGGTGTGACGTTTGGGGGTTTGATAATCATCTGCAGCTCTAAATTGTTGGCACGGTGAACTGTAAGTGTTTTGTTTTAACTTTCAAACTTGTCATACTTCGTTGTGGTTACAGCTTTTTTTAGCCTTGCAAACTGAAATTTTACTGCAGCTGGGTTTTGAGTTAAAATATTGTGAAATACAGGATTTCGCTACACTCCACCCACACAGTGTTTTACTTGAGTATGAAGCAGTGTTCCTTTTACCAAAACAAGTTTGACTGTAACCTAATTTGGGGGACACTGACGCTTCCATACCAGCTCTGAGGAGTCAGCGAGGTACTGAATTCGGTAGAAGAATCACAGATATTGCAAGTAACATGCCAGCTGTGTTAGAAAGTGATTCTAGAATGACCTGCTCAGGGAATTAAATTGCAGCTGGTCTGAAAGTTTATTACTATTAAGAAAATATTAACAAAATGTCTGTTTTCCTGCCTACTTAAGCTTGGCTAGTCAATAAACCATCATAAACTGTATTAAAGGAGGCCGTTTAAAAATAACCTTCGGTCACGTTGGTCCTCTTTTCCATCTCTTCTGTAAAAAATTCTCCCAAGTAAGGTTGCTGTTTCTTCTCTTGGGAAAGCACGGTTTGTGGAGTAAGCTTCTAGGACTAGATTGTCACGGCTACGAAAACTGGAGTCGAGGCTTCAAAGCTGAGAACAGTCTTTGATGTTACATGAGCTGCTGTTTCATTAACCGTAATCAGGATTAAATCTGGTTAGTTGGCAGAAGAAAAACGAATGACAAATAATGGGTATGTAAAGATGTCAGGCCTTGATGCTCTTGATCCTTTTCCCCCATGTTGAAGATCTAGTCAGAATAGATTCAGTAAAGCCCCGTTGCTTGTTCTGTTCCTTTTGGAGTAGGATCCAAAGTGGCAATGGACATATGCTCCAGCCCTCCTGGTGGGTTTTTTTTTTTTCCTTTTAATTTGCAGCAGTGAAAGTTGAAACAAAGCTGCTGTCACTCTTGAATTTTTCTGTGTTAGCAGCATCTTAGCTATTTGCTCGTAGTAAGGTATCGTAAAAAATTTATGTATGCCTCATGAATTAATTGAGCTCATGAGCAATGCGTACCTGAGGCTGCAAATTCCGTTTGATTTTTAAAGCTTATCTTTGCTTTCAAGTCTGTGACTGACTTGCCTTTTCATTTTGAAGTAGAATTCCAAGAACAACTGTTGTGGCACCAAGCATAGGAAATCATCAAACTTGGGTTGCCAGCAGTTGCGGTTTATCTTCGGGTAAAGGGCTGGGTGCTGTCCATCAGTTCTTATTTAATCGTCGAGTGGAGTTGCCTAGGCCGTTGGTCACCTTTCATGGAGGAGTAGAAGACGGG